AAAAAAAAAAAAAAAAAAATGGTGGGCCCTGTTCCTGGAGATTTGAACATTGCATTTCACTTAGCAGGAAAGTATTGACCCTCCCTTCTCCTTTTCTGCAGATAAAGTGTCATGGGGGGATGAGAAAAGGATTTTTATAATCATCTATTATAAAATTTATAATCCATTATTAATTCAGTTAGTACAATTTTAAAAGTATTGAGGAAGTCTTTCAATAACCAGAGAAAAGATTTCAGATCATTACCTCATTTTTGTATATGGCCTTAAATACCTCATCAGCTTTTCTTCCATGCATCAATTTTATTTTTTTTAAAAAAGAAGACAATGCTAATTAAATACCAATTTTTAGAGGAAACAGTAATATGTGTTATGTCTTCATGGACAGTCACTAAGCCCTTTTGATATGTGCTCTATGAACAGTAACAAATATAATAAATTTAGCAATGGAAAAAACAAGATTATTTCTGAAAGTCTTCATTAGATAGAAAAAAATGCCCTTTGAACTTACAAAGCATCCTCCATATTCAAACAGCTTCAGTCAGCTAAATGTCTTTATAAGTGTCATACAAAAACTCAGGGAATTCTGAAGAAAGACAAAATTTCTCTCCTAAATGCTAAATTTTTCCTTAATGTAGCAGGCAGCCGCCACCACAGTCTCAGAACATTCCAGAGAGCCCAGCGCGGCAGGCAGGCTCTCGGACAGCTCTTCCGAAGCCTCCAAGTTGAGTTCCAAAAGTGCTAAGGAAAGAAGAAACAGGAGGAAGAAAAGAAAACAAAAAGAGCAGTCTGGCGGAGAAGAGAAAGATGAGGACGAGTTCCACAAATCTGAGTCTGAAGACAGCATCAGGAGGAAAGGGTTTCGCTTCTCCATTGAAGGGAACCGACTGACGTACGAAAAGAGGTACTCTTCCCCACACCAGGTACGCCGCTGCTGAGTTACCATGCGTGGGTGAAAAGTAGAATGATGAGGAGGAGAGAAGAATGAAAAGGGACCTAGGACTTTCACCAAATAAATCAGCGATTAGCTTTGTTATACTTGAATCTACTTTTCCTGCACTTAGTAGACATGTGACCGTTTTACTCCAAGTATATGCGAATCTACAGATTGGTGTACTTGAACGGAAGGCTGACAGTCAGGAGACTTGGACTGTTTATTGTGATATTGCCTTTTGGGTACTTATTTATGATACCATCAATCCTGCTGATCGTCAGCTCTTCCAACAACAACAACAACAACAAATGTGGATCTGAAGCTAGGCAATCAGTAATGACCACTTGATTATTTTATGATTTTTGAATTGTATTTTTCTCCTAACTTGTTCATAAAGATGCCATACATGCTTCAGAAAATATGCGTCATGGTGCACTTTATCAAAAAGAACACCATTAGGAACAAGTTTCAAAACTAATGTGCTTTGTAGGTAAAACAGGAATAGCAATTCGTGACTTTAGAAAAGTAAGCTAATTTGTCAAATGTGTTGGCATTCACTTGGGGGAAAGACCAATGAAAACAAGTGTGGCCTTGTGGAGATCTTGCATTCAGGCTTCACTGAACATTGGCAGTATTTACTGCTATATATATGGATGCTAACATTTAAACTTAAGAAATGATGGCACAGGGATTTTTTGCTATCGTTATGTTCTATTTTAGCTCCCTATTCTTTAATATTAATAGCTATAAATTTCCTTCGACAAAACCAATTTAATCTGAACACCTATACATTTAGAATGTCAATCAAAAGGCATGTGCCACATCCTGTTATGAATGCTGGACTTTCCATTAACTAACTTAATCTGGCACATTGGTTGAAAGTGCATTTCAAAGGGCTGTGTTAATAAGATTTTGCTTTTTATTTGTTTCAAATTTTTAGTCTTTACTGAGCATCCGTGGCTCCCTATTTTCTCCAAGGCGAAATAGCAGAACAAGTCTTTTCAGCTTTAGAGGGCGAGCAAAGGATGTGGGATCTGAGAATGATTTTGCTGATGATGAGCACAGTACCTTTGAGGACAATGAGAGCCGGAGGGATTCCTTGTTTGTGCCCCGGCGACATGGAGAGCGCCGCAACAGTAACCTGAGTCAGACCAGCAGGTCGTCCCGGATGCTGGCCGTGTTCCCAGCGAATGGCAAGATGCACAGCACTGTGGATTGCAATGGTGTGGTTTCCTTGGTTGGTGGACCTTCAGTTCCTACATCGCCTGTTGGACAGCTTCTGCCAGAGGTGATAATAGATAAGCCAGCTACTGATGACAATGTAAGGAAGTTTTAAATAGTTCAGGCATGGCTGGCCCATTATTGCTGCACCAGCCAGTGTTTCTACAGAATGGAGTTCTTGAGAATGATTCCTGGTTGGTCAAGCTGTGAATGCACCTGCATCGTGTATTACCTTCAATAGACTAACCAGCTGAGCCTTGAAACCTCAACACTCTTCTGCACAAACCTGAATGCATTTACATATTTAAAGTGCTAAGAATTAATTAGGCATAATAATTACTGCCTCCAGTTGGAGGATTTGCTATATACCCACACTGAATTTAGATATCAGGACACCCTCAAAGGCCCTGGTATAAAACTAAATTAATACTCTTCCTGCTTAAATGTAAAGGGTGTATAATAAATCTTTCCATCAGAATTTTCAATATATGCTTCAGTTCAGAGTTTCAAAAACATTGTGCTTACACAGATAGCTTCATTATTACCTTAAAATTTCTAGTATGCATATTTGTCTTACTAAAAAAATGCTGATATGTCTTTTCAAAACTCATCTAAATGAAGAGATAAATTGTTAATGGAAGCAGATAATATCAATTGTCTGTGTGCAAAAGTATGTCTTATAGCAGTGAATAAATACCCAAATGAGGAATTTCTAAACAGATGCTGCCTCTTTTAAAACAGCTCATTCATTGGAAATATATCAGCATGATGAGGCATGGTTAAGTCAGAATTAGTTGACTTATTGCTTTGGTACCCTGGATGAAACTGTTGTCCATGCAGCATGTGTGTGTGTTCTTTTTAAGCATAAATCTTGTGTTGTCAATGACCATCCGTGTCTTGTGTCTAGAAAAAGAGATGGCAGCTAATTGTGTTTTAATCCTTGGTATTTCCTAAAAATCAAATGGCTACCTTCTCAAAAATTAAATACTTGATCACTTAGATGATTCTGTAACTTATTAGTTTTTTGCTAGTTCGAATATATGAATATTAAATATGACTACCAAAAGATTTACTGAACACCATATTTACATCACTTTTCATAAAATTATAAAATGAGAGAATTTTTAAAAACTTCATTTTTGCTGTATGACTGAATGGTCAACAGTTTGGACATTCCAGGTTAATGATACAATAAGTCAGTAATATCTGCCATCACTAATTAAATATGGAAGTGCATGATGCATGTGTTTCATGAAATTCATTGTGTCACCATTTGATTATTTGCTTATCCTATTGTCTGAATTAATCATTTAAGGCAGTAACATTTTCTGTACAGGGAACAACTACTGAAACGGAAATGAGAAAGAGAAGGTCAAGCTCTTTCCATGTTTCTATGGATTTTCTAGAAGATCCTTCACAAAGGCAAAGAGCAATGAGTATAGCCAGCATCCTCACAAATACCGTAGAAGGTTTGTCACAATTCCCTTTTTATTTTTTTAGTAAAGTCATTCTCTTATCTGAAATAATTATCTCTATTTACCAAAAAGTGTTGCACAACTCATCCTAAAAACAGTAGGTTTCACTCAAGGGTCATTATTTTCATATGCACACACATATTCTAAAAGGTTTAAAATGTATTTAAACTTAATGATGATGGATTTTAAAGATTATTATATTAACTGTGTGTGGCAACTCTGAAAGTGCATTATAAAGCATTTTTGTCAGGGGTTTCTAACCCCACAAGTCATAGCAACTCTCTGTTCCACTTAACTTCAGACTTCAGTTACACTGTCTCCTTCAACCTCATCTTAAATATCCTCAAGATTGGTACAAATTAAAAAAAAAAAAAAACCTGAAAAGATGACTCATTGTTCACATCAGCCCCCATGCTATCTCTTCGGACAAGACCTGGACAATGTAGCCAGTCATTGAACAGGATTTCACACGGTACATTACATCCAACTATTCCTCTTGAGACTTCTAAATGGCCCTGCAAAGTGCTGAGCCTACAATATGGACCCATAAGAAGAGAAGGATTTCTCTGCTACCTATCTTAGTGACTTAGCTATGCCTAGGACAAAGTACCCAACACAAAGGAACTTGTGGAAGGAAGAAATGCTTATTTTAGCTCACAGTTTAGAGCCTTTCAATCCATAGTCATCTGGCTCCAAGGCAAGGGATACTGCAGAAGAAACACAGCCCAGCAGGGCACGCAGGAAGCAGTGAACTGGGCTTCTTTTTGTCCTTTCATTTTCTGTTCAAGATATAAGGCTATGGTTGGTGCCACCCCCAGCGGGGGGGGGGGGGCGAGGAACGGGGGGACGGGACGGGACAGGACTACCCTCTTCAATAAATCTTTTCAGCCGCACCCAGAACCGTGCTACAATCCATACATTACCTCTGCTCTTTGTGTTTGTGTGATGAACCACAGTGGCACCTCCGTTCACAAGCACTTTGTGAACAATTTCATTTGGCAAATTTTTTTTTAGGAACACTTGAGGGGCTGGTCAGAAAGCTCAGTGGACTAAAGCACCTGCTTAGGCAGATACAGTAACAGAGGTTGATCTCCTGCGTGCAGTTCTGGCCCCGCCCCCAGGGCGTGCTGAGACAGCAATTGAGACTGGATGTGGTGGCTCGCCCCTGTAATCTCAGTGCTTGGGAGGCTAAAAACAGGAGGTTTGCTACAAATCCTGTCTGCATAGTGAGATCCTGTAGACCCTATACTAAAAAAAAAATACATAAAAAGAACCCTCGAGTCCAGTGACAAACATAACCATGACCAGATTCCTCCCAAAAAAATATGAATGGGGATTTAATATTTAATCAACTACACAATACTTTGACTTTATAGTACATGAAAATATGTCTATTTCTGAAAAAGAGTCCAGTTTCTATCCAGTCTATCTGCAATAAATATTTGTGTGTATAAAAAGAATCTTCCAGTGTTTTCCTTTTTCTTTCTTCCATCTAGAACTTGAAGAATCCAGGCAGAAATGCCCACCCTGTTGGTATAAATTTTCCAACATATTCTTAATCTGGGACTGTTCTCCATACTGGTTAAAAGTGAAACATATTGTCAACCTGGTCGTGATGGACCCATTTGTTGATCTGGCCATCACCATCTGTATTGTTTTAAATACTCTCTTCATGGCGATGGAGCACTACCCCATGACGGAGCATTTCAATAATGTGCTTACAGTAGGAAATTTGGTAAGCATATTGGAAGGTAAATGTGTTCAGTCTTCAAATTTTCTGTTTTGAAAATACTTACATTTAATAAATGATAGCACTCCCTCATAACTTCTGTCCCCACAAATGGGAATTATGTGTAACTACCGCACATTATTTGTTAAAAACGACACTCAATGTGTTGCAAAAATTAAGAGAACAGTAGGTGTAGACAGACTGTAGTACTTAAAAATTCAGGGGGCTGAGAAGATAGCTCAGTGGAATAAGTGCTTGCCCTCTTCAAGCCCTAGTTCTGAAAAAAAAAAAAATCAGTACTATATACTCTGAAATTTTTCAACATGTAGGAGTAGTTCAAATTAAGACACTTTTTTTTTGAAATGATGGTATCACTATCTCATTAACCATAGGAGGCAAAAATGATATAGGTAATCTTTTTCTTAGTTATTATCTTTGCAAGAAATAATGTAACAAGTTATAAATATCTTCAGTTTTTTGCTTCCGGGATATAGGTTCTAAGTACTGTTTTATACATCTACTCTATATCAAAACATAAAATATTGAAAAACATGGATACCTTTTGGGTATTGTGGGATTAAGTAAACCATTTTGCTAAAGATTGTTGCTTAATTCTTTCCTTTTTGTGCTTCAAAAATAAATTATTAAAATGTAAGTCGGTTAGCATAACTTAGAAACATGAGCTTTTATTTGCTGAAAAAGAATCTTGCTAAAGTAATACATGAATTTCCTATGTTATTTTGTTAGAGGTTTACAAATTTCATGTGTGTAACATAGAACAATGATAGCAATGCACATATTCTAATAATATATAAGCATGTATACTAGTTCTCTGATTTGAGGGAAATGATTACCTTATAAATAAATAAAGCTGTTCATGGGCATACTTGTCAATATCTGTGTTGCATGAAATCTAGAGCAAAAGGCAATTTGATGTAATGGAGAGTATACTACCAAAAGTAGAATATTTGTACTCAAATACAAATTTTTCCATTTTCTAGTTGTATTGTGTTGTTGAGTTACTTCACCCATTTCAAGATATTACTTTCTTGTACAGAAAGGAAAAAATATAATATTTCCATGACTCCACTTATTGGACTGTGCTTAAGGATAAAATGAAATAACATAAGAGAATTATATCAACTATAAGCTCTTGTACAAAGATCTTAGTAAGAGAATCATTACTGCAAAAATAGCATAAATATTGTTCTAAAAGCAAGTATTATAATATCATTTCATGGAGTTAGAGTAACTTTTTTTGATCTTAGGTTTTCACTGGGATCTTTACAGCAGAAATGTTTCTGAAAATTATTGCCATGGATCCTTACTATTATTTCCAAGAAGGCTGGAATATCTTTGATGGTTTCATTGTGACACTTAGCCTGGTAGAGCTTGGTCTTGCCAATGTGGAAGGATTATCAGTTCTCCGTTCATTCCGATTGGTAAAAAAAAAAAAAACACAAAACAAAAGAGTAAAAATAAGAACCAGGTTTTTTTTTCTTAACAATCAGTGTTCTTGTATAGGACTCTCATAGATTTTGCAAAACAACTATTAGCATTTTAAATTTCATGTTTGGTAAATGGGGGGGAAATATATTTTCTCTTACTTACTTACAAATCATTTATTCCAAAGAGCAAAGTCACCTACTACTCAGCTGCCATTCAGATTAGGTATTGCTTTTACATGAGCCTTGTAGAGTGCCGTAGTGTAGGGAGAGGCAGATGTTGTCAGTGACTCAACCAAATACTGGGGAGATGCTGAGGACTGCATGCATGCTGGGCACATATTCTACCACTGAGCTAGACTCCTAATTTTGGAGACTTTATTTTAATCATGATTTTTTGGTACATGTCAATACATTTAATGCTTGTAATAATCTAATGATCAAAATTATATATATATATATGTGTGTGTGTGTGTGTGTGTGTGTGTATAAATACATATATATATATATACACACACACACACACACACACACACACACACTATTTTTTTCTATTTTCCTAGCTCCGAGTTTTCAAGTTGGCAAAATCTTGGCCAACATTAAACATGTTAATAAAGATCATCGGCAACTCCGTGGGTGCTCTGGGTAACCTCACCCTGGTGCTGGCCATCATCGTGTTCATCTTTGCCGTGGTCGGCATGCAGCTCTTCGGGAAGAGCTACAAAGACTGTGTCTGCAAGATTGCCAGTGACTGTAAACTCCCGCGCTGGCACATGCACGACTTCTTCCACTCCTTCCTGATTGTGTTCCGCGTGCTGTGTGGGGAGTGGATAGAGACCATGTGGGACTGCATGGAGGTCGCTGGCCAAGCCATGTGCCTTACTGTCTTCATGATGGTCATGGTGATTGGAAACCTAGTGGTATGTACTGACTTATGATGTGCATTTAAGAAAGATATTAATATGATAATAAAATAGTGACCATTTTGCCCAAAAATCCCTTTATAATTAATAGTTTTAAATGTCTCTTACCTTAGAAATATTATATTCACAATTTTTACATTTCCATGTGTTTAAAAACAAAGAATATAATAATAATTGATTTTAATACACAATTTTATTGTATCAGTCATTTTTGTGCATTTGTTATGTTATGTGAATTACTATGAAGACAATTTAATGGACTTACTTTAAAAATCCAGAGCCAAGCAAAAAAGGAAGTCTGTACTACACATATCCATTTGTATTACTTATATAGTACTAGGGCTAAGTCAGATACAAGATGTGAATCAAATTTTTTTTTCCTAATTCTTTCTCTGGAAAATATACACCTCCCAAAAATTAAAAAGGAACCCTTTTTACAATTACTACAAATGCCATTTATATATATATATATATATCCCTTTGCAAGTGGAGGACACAACTGTGACTCATAGACAATGCACCCATTCCCCAAAAGTTGTGTGTTTGATGGAGATACAGAGACAGCGATAGAGAAACAGACCAAAGAGAGAAAGAGACAGACACAGGCAGAGACAAAGAGAGCAATATTGACTGTCAGCAACACTAAAAAGTGTTGGTTTCAAGAATGTTGGTACTGACTGTGCCATTTTCTTGTCTGTCACTGGAATGTAGTATTCAGTCACCCTATGTCATGTGGCATATGCCTTAGCCAGTCTAGATTGGCCGATTGTCTCTGTGGTTCTAAGTAAACACAAAAGATGGCTCACATGATATACGAACATAGTAAACCTTCTTACTCTTTCTTAAATTTGGAATGCTACCATGGATACTATGAGAATATAAAAGTATGCTCCAAAAGACATGCACATTAATGTGCCACTCTCATGGACATATTAGACATTATTTATATGTAGTTCTCTTAATTAGTCAATACTGAAGTAAGAGAAACACAATCTGTTAAGAAAAAAATGTAAATGTCTTTAAATCTTAACCTTTAATCATAGTGTAGAGAAATAATGATTTTCTCAATTCACATTCAACACCTGCTTGTCAAAAGGAAAGTATAAAGTATGTATGTAAATACATCATTTTAGATTTTAATGTTCATTAAGTTTAAAACTCTTCTGCTGAACATATGTAAATCTGTTTTCTTTTACTATATAATTTTAAGCTTCATGATATTGTAGGTCAGCCACTCAACTGCATTGGAAAATTGGAAAAACTCGAAAGCCATGGAAAGCATGTCTATACCTAGCTATTGAGCTGGGTGATAAAATTCTGCGCACCCAAACTAGGGGGCAGACAGGGAACCGGGGGCAGAGTCCAGGGCCTCTTGCTTGATGAAAAGCATGTGCTCTTCTGCTATGCTCTATCCCCAACCTACCTGAATTCTAGCAATGATTCTGTCTTGTGTCTTTCTCATCAAGTTTTCGAATTTACAGTTTCCTCCGTATCTAAAGGATGATGTAAGCATAATATAATCTTTATATCATGGTGAAATTATAATCATGGCTTTATTGTCTTTAAGGTCCTGAATCTCTTTCTGGCTTTGCTTCTGAGCTCATTTAGCGCAGACAACCTTGCAGCCACAGATGATGATAATGAAATGAACAACCTTCAGATTGCTGTGGACAGGATGCATAAGGGGATAGCTTACGTGAAGAGAAAAATATATGAATTTATTCAGCAGGCTTTTGTTAGGAAAAAAAAGATTTTAGATGAAATTAAGCCACTTGATGACTTAAACAACAAAAAGGACAGTTGTATGTCCAACCATACAGGAGAAATTGGGAAGGACCTTGACTATCTGAGAGATGTAAATGGAACTACAAGTGGCATTGGAACTGGCAGCAGTGTTGAAAAGTACATTATAGATGAAAGTGATTATATGTCATTCATCAATAATCCCAGCCTTACTGTAACCGTACCAATAGCTGTGGGAGAGTCTGACTTTGAAAATTTAAACACAGAGGACTTTAGCAGTGAATCTGATCTGGAAGAAAGCAAAGAGGTAAGATTCATAAACATAGAAAGATAGAAAGGGGTGTGAGTGTGTGTGTGTGTGTGTGTGTGTGTGTGTGTGTGTGTGTACGTCTTGTTACCTGTATTTATGATCCTATTTTTTCCATCTAAAATTTTTTTTGCCATCTCTTAAAATTGCATTTAATTGAAGTGCCAAAGATTTAATTTCAGAAGAATGATTAATAATACATCGAACAACATGCTGATATGTGAGTTTTCTCATTTTTGGCAGAACCAGGGATTGAACTCGGGCTCTTGCACTTGCCAGGCAAGCGCTTATTCTACTGAGCTATCTCCCTGGCCCAGTTTTCTCATTTTTAGTAAAGGATATCTGTTAGAGAGATGAAGAAATGACATAATAAATGAACTAATCTAATCATTATACAATGATTTATTCCTTACAACCTGTAGAAAAGTGTTCAATTATAACTTTTCTGATAAGAAGTTTAGCTTAAGAGAGGTTAAGGCCACTTGACTGGTGAGGTATAGCTCTGAGACAAGGACTTGGAGCCCTTGTCTGTACATTTGGTGTGTCTTTGTTGTGTCACATTAGCCCAGGACTTGAAAGAGAACTCTAATGATGAGAAATTACCTTCATATCTTCTATCATTACAGTGACACTTTCCTAGTATTAAGCTTCTTGGCATATCATCGCCAAACCTGTGTTAGTGTGCCAGCAGCGTCACTCATTGCCTGCTGAGGAGGTCTGCCCTTGGGTTGAGACAGCCACCTTCTTACGGTATTTTCACATGACCTGGGCTTGGTGCACACACAAGGAGAAGCAGTTTTGGTGTTTTGTTTTGTTTTTTCTTTTTTATAAGGTCTTTGATCTTATTGGATTAGAACTCCAAACTCATGAATGCATAAGCATGTATTACACCCCTAGAAGATTCAGTCAAACACAGCTACATTGAAGGTTAGAAATTCAATCTTTGAAGGAGGAGGTGGTGCAGTTGAGTCCATAGCAACCTACTTAGAAATAATAAGCAGGGCCAACCAAATAACTCAGTGGATTAAAGTGCCTGCAAGCAGGCACAGGGGCCAGGGTTTGATCCCTGGGCATGCTGTGCAGGCCCCGCCCCTAAGGCATGCTGAGATGGCAATTGAGACTTGGTGTAGTGGCGTGCACCTGTAATCCCAGCTCTTGGGAGGCTGTAAACAGGTGGATCACTACCAGTCTGATTTAGTAGTGAGACCCTGAACACCCTGTAGACCCTTCCCTAAAATACAAAAAAAAGAAAAAGAAAAAGAAAGAAAGAAACAAAGAAAGAGAATAAGCAAAGATTCCGGTGAGGATACAGACTTTTCCTTATCTGCAGTGACTTGGCCTACTATTCTTCCAGTTCACATTGATGTAAAAATGATGCACATATAGTAGATATCACATGTGGAATCTGGAATTTTGACCTTTTCCCATAAGTGGTACACAGTCCTCTCTTTCTATCCTGGCCAGTGGCTATGGGCCGCACAGCTCCTAGTCAGCCACACTCTCACAAGAGTAAACAACTGCTGCTTGACAGTGTGCTGCGTGGCTAGCTGTGATGTTCAGTAGGCTAGGTGTGCTACATGCACTTTTTATTTATACTATTTCCCACTTACTGAAGACTTATTGGAAGCTGCAAGTTGAGGATCAGCTATATAAGCTATTTCAAAAGAAGTCTTAAAAAACATCCTCACTTTACAGTGTTTGGAAAATTCAAAATACATTCCCACATGTTAATGTACATAGTGTAAATATGTTTTTAAAATTGAATACATCAAAGACATTTTATTAAGGACACAATTCTGTTAGAATATCACCATGCACAAGGGAAACAATGTTGCATTTTGATAGTTACCCACATCTGATGCCAAACGCTTATGATATTTTTTGACTTATTATTGAATATACCCCTGTAGAAGTGATCCAAGTATTTATGATGAATCTCTGAATGATCGAAGTCACCTTAATTGTTTTGGAATAGAGGAATAATAGAGCTACAGTTTTATAACTTGACACCAACCAGAGGGCTTTGTAGGTGTTTGTGTTTTGTGTAATGAGAAACGTTCAGAGACATAAGAGTAGATCAATCCTATTCACATTTCTCATGTCTATGAATATAGACTTTGGGGGAAAGTATAGATTATATTATAAAACTTTGTGGACTTTACATTTATAAAATTGGTTCTGAACTTATGATTAAATAAATGTGACAGTATTCCTCCTATTCCTGATTTATTTGTCTTGAATTTTTAGACCCAACTATAATACTTGATGAAGAATAATAGTTATAACATTCTATCTGTGGAATATAGAAAGGAAAGCAGGAACTATTTTATTTTATTTTTTATTTTTTTATTTTTTATTTTTTTGGCAGGACTGGGGATTGAACTCAGGCCCTTGTGCTTGCCAGGGAAGCGCTTATTCTACTGAGCCATCTCCCTAGCCCCACTATTTTATTTTAAAGAACACCCATAACAAATACTTCTTTGCAAAAACCTGGTAAAGTGATAGCTTTATTTTTTTTTTTTTTGCATTGTTCCTGGTTGAAAGTAAGAGCGATCTCCTCATAAGGAGACTAACTACTCCAACACGAGAGACAATTGCACTTCTTCACTGTTTGTAACATTTCAGAACTTGGAACACTACATTAGTTGAAATTCTAAATGTTAGGGTAGTAGAAACTTTAGAGATATAGTATTTCCCATATTATGAGTCATGGTCCCCTGAAAAATCAATTTTTGAGTTAGTAATTTTTTAAATCTTTAATAAAATAGAGTATATTCCATCAATGCACATGACCTATTATTGGGAAGAATATTAATGAATGAGCTTTTGATCCCTGTCCTGTATTTTAATGTGTTGTCTAATATGAGTATAAACACTGTTCCTGTGGGTTATAGTGCTGAATGATCAGGAATTCTTAATTTGGAGAAACACTTCCATTCTCCTTAAAAGTAGTGATCTTGAATTCACAGATAAAAGGTGCCACTTCCTCTGATAAGACTCAGAAATATAAGACACAGATCATGGATAATAAATAATGAATTCACAGTATTTGTAATCTTACTAATTACCAAATGTCTCTTAATAATTTTAATTGCCCATGTATCTACTTTTAGGTTATGACATATTTATGTATGATTAGTACACAGTAGACACTCAAGTCAAACTGTTTCAGCTTAGCAACTCTTCTTTTTAAAATTTTATTGTAAAACTTTGGTGTTACATATATATGGGTATAATGTGATGTTTTAATATGTGCATATACTGTATAATGATCAAATGAGAATAATCAGCATATTAATAACCATATATATTGATCATTTTCTTGCTATGGAGCATTTAAATTCCCCCTTACTATTTGAAATACACAATGAATTGTCTTTGGCTACAGTCACCCTTCTGTGCAATATGGTATCAGACTCTATTCTTATCTGACTGTTACATTTCACTCCTGGCATCAACTCTTCCACATAACCCCCTCTTCCTATTCTCTCAAGTCTCTGAGAACCACTATTTTACTTCCAATTTGCATGGGCTTAACTTTAGGATTCCATATAACAACAAGATCATGCAGGACTTGTCTTTCTGTGTCTTACTTATTTCATTAATATTATACCCTGAAGACATGACAGCATAAATAGGTATATGAAAAAATGCTCAATATCACTAACCCTCAGAAGTAGAGAAATCAAAATCACAATGAAATGTCATGTTACCCCAGAGAGAAAGGCTATATTCAGCCATTAACAGAACCAGTTTGAATGACTCTCATCATTAAACTTACTCTGCTGAGAGTGTGATTGAAATCACAGTTTTATTTCCCATGATACTGGACATCATGTTTCCCTTGATTCAATCAAATAATAAAGTAGCCTTTGTCCTTCTATCTTTGTTAGCTATGTTATCTTGTCCATCTATATTTGGTTTCTTAAAAAGTAACAATTTCTCATCATTTTCATGTGAACTTCTGTTGAAATGCAATTCTGTCTCACCCAGTTAAAAATTCTAAGCTAAATACTAAAGCATTTATTCAGTGCTATTTCATTTCAGGTTTTTTTCCTGTATTATTAAATCCAGTTTCCTGTCAATATTCTTTTAAAAATTATCATACTGGCTCAAATTTTCTGACTGTTTCACTTCCATTTCTTTTTTGTAAAGACAAAAAAAAAAGATACAGAATTTCCAGACAAGTTAGTAGGAAATCAACAATGGTTATTACACTGATATTGTTATCTTCAAAGGAGCGCTCAGAGTACAATATACAAGCATGCAAAACTGATAAGACAATAAAAGCACAAATTATTCTTTTCCATGAACTATAGCAATTAGTAGCATAATTACCTTAGCTATCTTCTATATGCACTTCACCATTTCTTCCCCTTTGGTCAGAAATAAGCAGAATGGTTTCTCCTCTTTGATGCTTTATATTGTGCTCTGTCATTACAGCAAAGTAAATTTATAACATGCTCTATTTAGAGAGGGATTAAATGATAGCTGATACTTCCCACAGCAAATATTCCTTATTCTCAATAAGGCAATCTATGGCTTATTAAACATAATCTCACCATTTTGGCTTTTACTGCTTAAGCTTTATTCCTTTTGTCTACTTCATTATTTATCAGTTTTGGGGTTTAGAGAGGAGGTAAATTAATAAGGTAATGGGGACACTGATAAGCCATGATTATGCTATAAAATTTTCTTTAAAAAAATAACTCTTAAATATTAAACATGAATTGTCATCTTGGAACAGTATTGATTCAAAATACTATCTCTTCTCACCACAATTATATCCTCTCATCTCAATATGTTAATGTTCTCATGTCAGAATTTCGACAATGATTTTTCTGTAGTAGGTCATCATAATACCTCAGACATTATACTGGGGTTAAATTTACAGGTGACTGAAGTTATCAGTTCTTTGGGTATGTTTTAATACATGTGAGAACATAGTTATAATGTTGATAAGAAAAACAACTTACACTTAAGCTAGATTCTGGGTAATATAATTCCATGTTAGATTCCTACTCTATAACCCTTCCTGGATATCTATTCTTTAACTTTTTCATCTCAAAAATAGAGACAATATCAAGTATGATAATAAATGCAATGTGCCTCGAACAATGTCTGACATTGTAAGCATTCAAAAAATTGTCATCATCATTACTATTTTCATAGCAATCTCAACAGTCTGTATCATTTAGTCTCCTTACAGGAATTGCTTATAATTATTTTATATTGTCTTTTTTCTTTTATGCCATTTACCCAGTATAATAAATTATTTTACATGTCTGTCTAGGAAAAGTGATACTGTATACATTTTTTAATTTAATTTTAAAATTGCTTCAATTAATTTTTTAAAAAGCCATTAAAATATTTAAGAAGACATTTTACTGAGGAACATTCCAATTGGACAGGATACAGATGCAAGAATCTAGAGGGTCGAAACAACAGGGCATGTGTAGGAACAATTAGCTTGGAAGGTCAAGGCAAAAAATCTAAGGAGATGAGGCTAGAGCTGCAGAAAAAGACCAGGTGCCCCCAGTTTCTGAGACTCTAAGCAGAGACTGGTGAGGAGAGTCACAGTAACACGGAAGTTCAGATTTGCTTTGCAACCCCCCCCATTACCGATGCACTTACCAGTGGCCCCCACACAGGAGCAAACTCTCACACTGTCTTGCCCATACCCTCCTTCTCTCATTCTGAAATTAAGAAGAGACAGAACATAACTCACATTTTCTCAACTCCTCAAGGCCCAACTGACAAGAACCCACCCAGTACAATCACATACCTTGAAGACATATTTTCAAACCTCAAAAAGCTTCTTGACTCTTGCAATAGTAAGAGTAATGATCATCTAAAAATCCAGACATCTACTCAAAGTTAATAATGAGTGGAGATTTGGACAGAGTTTGTAAAGCTTTGAAGTTAGGCAGAACTGCTTAGAGATAACAAAAAAGGAAAACCCATACCTATCCAATTTGAAAGTATATTTCTTTGGTTATTGATCATGTTTATAGAAACTTTATCTTCAAAAGACCTACTGCAATGTTAGATATACAGTAAGTACTCAATAACTTCTTGACGGTCAGTTCACTAAGAGGTTAGTAGCCCTAACTTTACTATGGGAAAATTACTAATTCTCCACTACTCATTTATTTCTGTTCTATACAAACTCCAGAATAATGAGTAAAAGTAGCCAGGATAATGTGTGAAACCAGTTAGGAGAATGATGTATCTTGGGCTAGAATCCAGGGCAGTCTGTTAAGAGTCTCTGAATTGAACCACAAAAAAAGAGCTACTTCAGAGATGCAATTAAATAAATTTGGCTTTTGATACTGTCAGTATTAAAAAAAAACAAGAAATAATAAATAAGGAGATTTTGAGTCCAGGTGTAAAAAAGAAATGATATTGTAAGCAACTGGAGTGAAGAATTTAGTTTCAAAAGTTGTGGCTGAACAAAAATTGTCATGTCAATTGAGAGACTGTTGAGTACAAATGCCACTGGGCCTGCCTCTTCCTCCCTACAGCACTTCAGATCAACCATAGAATTTACGTAGATTGCCTTAAAAGAATTTGAAATTTAACATGAAAACTGAGGATCACTTGTCTAGACTTTCTGTGAGGAGATCTTGCTTTGGAATACTACTCTTAGACACTTAATCATTTTTAAAATAATCTTTAAGACTTTTAAAATATGGATGTATAGCCCAAATATATGCATGAAAAAGAGTGTATAGAAGTACATGAGTAAAATATTACAAAGTTATGTTACAAAACAAAAGTGAATGATATTAGAATGTTCTTTAAAATAATATTGAGTGCTTGGATAACAGTTCTTTCATGTGGAGAAGGTCTAACCAGGAATGCAGTAACTTTGAATAATAAAAATGATAAAAACTTAGTTTGTCATCATTTGGGCAAGAGATATCATGGAAGAATATTTAGAGAGAAATCAGTAGGCATGAAATAAAAGTAACATTTTTATCATTGTGGGATCACATGTTTTTATGTTAGGACTCACAGCTGCTGATTGGAAAACTAAAATCCAATCCTAATGAAATTGAGGAATAGATGGAAAGTTGATATAAGCCCTGATCTTTATAATTTGGTACTATGTGTGAAGAAGTGGATTTCCTTAGAATTTTGAGCTGCTACAAGTGTTCTTTTTAAGTTCCCAGTGAGTTAAAATTATATGACATTTCCTTTATAGCAAGATAGAATTCATTTGGCATGTCCATGCTGATTTCCATATGCTTGTGCTCGTGTGCTCCTCTATCAGCAATACCGAAGGGCCCTTTTCTCCACAGCCTTATCAAAAATTGATATTATTTGATTTCTTAATGATAGCCATTCTTTCTGGAATTAGTTGAAATCTCAGTGTTATTTTAATTTGCATTTCTCTACCTTTGAGAAATGTCTATTCATTTTACTGGTCCATTTTTCATTTGAGGTTTTTTTATTCTTGGAGGAGATCTAAAGTTTTAGTTCTTATTAATGCTAACTGGCAAAGTTTTTCCCTTTTTTAGGTTGTCTCTTCTTTCCATTGATTGCTTCCTTCACTGTATGTAAACTTTTCAGTTTCATATAATCCTATTTGTTGATACTCAATATTATTTCTTGTGAAATTGTAGCTGTATTCAGAAAGTTTGTGATTCTACCTATGAATTTAAGAGTTTTGTCTACTTTATCCTCAGCAGGTTGTGTTTCTGTTTTAATATTTAGATCTTTCAACTATTTTTTTAGTATAGTATATGAAGAAAGATATAGGTCTACCTTCCCTCATCTGCATGTAAATATTCAGTTTTTCCTGCACCATTTGCTAAAGAGGTTATATTTTCCCTAGTATAGGATTTTGATCTTTGGTCAATGATAGCTCCTGTGTCTGAGGTTGTCTCTGTATCCTCTGTTCTTTTCCATTGGTCCACATGTCTATATTTGCTCAAGTACTATACTGTTTTTGTCAGTGTAGCTGTGTAATATAGTTTATTATCTAGGATTTTGATACCTCCTGCTTCACTCTTGTTACCAAGTATTGCTTTTGCTGGTCTAAATCTCTTATGGTTCCATATAATTTTAGGATTGTTTTCTCTTGTCCTGTAATGATGTTATTAGCATTTTGATGGAGATTGCATTAAATCTAAGTGTCAGTTTTGTAAGTATGGTGCAAAAAGTGCCATGGCTATTTTAATCATCAGCAAATATTCAGACTTTCCACACTGTTGCTGTTCAAAAATATAAATAACTGAATTCATTAATTAATCTTACCAAGAATTTAAAGATCAATGTAGAACATTGGTGATTTGTTCCTGACTTAGTGGGTAAGTTGATATTCTCTATTATTTATGCTATCTTTATGTGTGTGTGTGTGTGTGTGTGTGTGTGTGTGTGAACTCTTAAAATAGAGCTGACCAAGACTGAAGTACCTAACTATAATCCCAACTTCTCAAAAGCTAAGACAGGATTGCTTGAACCCAAGATTTCCACATAATGAAACCCTATATCAAAAAGAAATAAAACATGAAAAGGAAACTTGGTCAAGTTATTGTTGTCAAAGTATGAGGTATATTATCTTTAACTGGACTCCTTCCTTTTGGCTTCTCATGACATATTATGAAAACAGTTTGTCAGTAAGGTGAAAATTAAATTTTCTCACAAGTTATTTACTGATCATTTTTTGCAACACTTCAGAGTCTGAAATATTTCACAGAAATAAACTTTTATTTAGTACAGCTAAGGTTACTTTTATCCATATATTTTAACCTACTGTATAATTTTCTCTGAACAACACATGGAACATTAATACATTTGTAATAAATAATTCTGAGCACCCTAACCATGAGCATTAGTACCATGAGTTCAAGCAATGCATAGTATTTGCTCTCAAGCAAGACATTGTTAAAGAAATATGTGCAGTCAAGCATTAAAATAAAGAATAACCTGCTGACACTTCCTTCTAAGGTAGGATTTCTTTCTCTCTCCCTGTCTCTGCTTTTCTTTTTCCTCCTCCTACCTCTCCTCATCCCCTTGCCACCTCCTTCCCTAATCCACAGAACAGCACTTTCCTCATCCATGTGACCCATGACCATTTGTAACATCATAGCACAGCAATCTGACTTCATCCTTTGTGAATTCACAATGCACAACATTTTTCTCACCTCTTACTCAATTTTTCTTTTGCTTTCAATTTACAATAGTACCTCAAGACAAGACAAAGTAAATCCATAAGAATAATTCTTTCTTGGAAGGGCACTTACTAAATAAATAGAACTAATAGGATTTACTTTTGTACCCATTTCTTGAACAGAAACTTAATGAAAGCAGCAGCTCATCGGAAGGTAGCACTGTGGACATCGGAGCCCCTGCGGAAGAACAGCCTGTTGTGGAACCCGAAGAAACTCTGGAACCCGAAGCCTGCTTCACAGAAGGTAAAGACAAATATCTTCATGGTAATCTTTGATTTGTAGAGTGCCACCTTTTTAGCTGTTGCCTCACAAAATGAATCACACACAACTGACGTTGATGGTAGATGTGTTTTCAATTACCCTCAGTGTGTTGACAAAGAGAATTTAAATTGTAACGTTGTACTTCAGTGACCTCCACCCATGTTCGGAAAGGCTTGAAGAACACGGAGAAACCTAACAGCAGTGTAATACCCATCTCTGACAAAACAAAACAAAAAAGGGAGATATAAATAAAGGACCATTTTGTAGTGAAAAATATATATGTATATACAAGATAGTTAGGATAGATATACAGCTACTTTCTCTTAGTTCAATGAGAAGAAAGGTTTGTACTAATATTGTTTAGACAAGATGTCATGTCTACATCTTGTCCTCTGAATAACTACTAGGAATACAACAATATGCAATGTATTAATTATTGTAACTGTCCTACCAACCTGTTTTGAAACTGTTTCATTGCTATTTTATCTTTTTTTCTCATTAAAATGAATAAAAAAAATTAAAAACAGCATGAAGAAACACACCCAAATGTAATAAACCTAATAACTAATATAGACTTTTTAAAAGACAGTGACAATTTTGCAATAAATGAGCATCTTAAATACTAGTCAAAATTATCTTATAAGAATTTGTGTTAGCTGGGCCTGATAGTGCACACCTATAGTCCCAAAACTCAGGAGGCTAAGGCAGGAGGATCGCCATGAGTTCGAGGCCAGACTGGGCTGCACAGTGAGATGCTGTCTTTAAAAAATCAAGAAACAAAAGATCTTCCAAAAAACCCAAATTTTTAATGTGTAAATGAGTTTTCAATAAATTTTGGAAGAGTCAGGGAAGTATGGCCTGTCTTAGACATCTGACACATTGACAGTACCTTGTTGAGCCTGGTAAAATATGAGTGATTGGTATGAGATATAATTTTTTCTCTAATATTTCCTTGGGATCTGATTCCTTGGGACATAGAGTTTGGGACACATGAATATATTGCATATTTTCTATTTAGTGTTATTTTTATTTCCCTAATATGTTTAAATGTCAATGATTTTCTGTTTCATAAATAGACATCACTCAAAGTCCTTAAAACTACCCTCTTCTGACTATGATAGTAGAAGGCTGATGAGATAGCTCGGCTGTCTAAAGTAAGGCAAGCTTAAGCAGCTGCACAGGACTGCATGGTTCCATCCCCTGCACCACATGCCACACCAGCCTCACCCTCAGGGTGGGCTGAGTAGGAAAAAATAAATAAATAAAAAGACTGATAGCAAAGTTTCTTATTCTCTTGAATAGCTATAATAAATTCAGCTGGTAACCAATTATATATTATCTTCTAAAATAATTCTCCACTTTTAAACTGTGAAATGCATCTTATTCTCTTCCATTATTTTCCTTCATTCTTTCTTAGTTCCCTCCTTATTTATTTTATTTTCCCCTTCTTCCATTCTTTCTCTTCTTTTCCTTACAACCTGTTTTCTATATCTTATCTTTTTGCCTTGGGGCAAGGTTCTTCTAACTCAAATCTTTTATTGAAAAATAAAATGTAAGTTTCTTGGGAAGAAACTAGATGTGTTTTTTTTTGTTTGTTTGTTTGTTTTGTATACTCCATGATGCTTAATAAAGCACTCAAGATGCGTGTGGGTTTGCTGCTGCTGAGAGTGTAAGGGAAGCAAGGTGAAGAAGGCAGTGACCAAGTGTGACTGTGCAAATCACACTTCTGAGGACTAAGTGAATTTTGGAAAACATAAAAGTCCTTCTAGAATTGCCACAAGAAACCCTGTACCTTAACATACTTTGTATTATTGGAAAAGAACCTTATTATTGCTGATATCCTCTTTAAGTAAGTAGGTTTTCTTGTTATCATTAATTTCCATTTTGTAGTCATTTTTTTAAAGTGACAGAAAATGTAAAATGTCTTTAACCAAGGGAACATTTAAAGTGGTGAAAAATATTCACACCTGCACATAGCTAATGAGCGTGCTTTTGCTACTCCAGGCTGTAGAGCTTTATCTTAGCAAGACATGGATCACAGTATAATGGAAACAGGGAACAGCAACACGCCAGGAAATACGAAGAAAACCACAGATTTATGTGAATACGCTTATCTCCACATTATATTTGCAGGCTGTGTGCAAAGATTCAAGTGCTGCCAAATCAGTGTGGAAGAAGGGAGGGGAAAACAGTGGTGGAACCTGAGGAGGACGTGCTTCCGAATAGTTGAACATAACTGGTTTGAGACCTTTATTGTTTTCATGATTCTCCTTAGTAGTGGTGCTCTGGTGAGTGAATTCTAAGCTACGGCACAGCCGTCCTTACTTTTTAATATCTCCTAATACTAATGATTTAGTAATTCTTTCCATTCTACTGTTTTTGTATCTAATGTATTTTAATAAGGCTCTTTTATCTTCCACACCAAATATTTAATGTATGACTTTGCATTTCCAGAATTACTTTTATTTTTTTA